CCAGAGCYTCCACTTAATTGCTGAGTGACAAGCACATTGCATTGAGAAGGAAAATGGGAGTTAATCACAAAACTGTACCTCTCAAGCAGCTACTTCAGCTRTGGTTCCTATAGCATTTGGAAAAACTAACTCCTTGTGCTGTTACCTAGAAAAAGGAAATAACAGGCTGCAGAAAAGCAGGAAAAGACAAAAGCAAAAGTGGAGTTCAAGAAGTCAGTGAAAGGTAATGAGACCAAACAGCAAAGACATATTGTAGCACATACTAAGCAGGAAGATTTGTGAAAACATGCGGATTGCTGRAGATTAGAGAACATTTGCAGAAGGTAGCTTGTTTTGCAAATCGCTTCCCAGCTGAAATGCTTAGATATGAGAATAGCCTCTCAAACCCAGAAATTTCTTTACATAAGTTAGTATGAATGCTAATACATTACAAATCTGATTGCGCATATTTGTTTTTGTGTGTTTTATGGTACTTATGCTTTGTTTTCGTTTAGGAGTTATRGAGTAATAAACTGAAAAGAGTCAGATTTTTGTACCGATGTACAACTGAATCTCACATACTGATGGTTTATTACTTGATTTGTAGCTAGCACAACCTTCTAGCAGTGTTGTATAGAATATTAATGTCTACTAAATTTAACAAAGACTGCCACTACTAGCCTGAGCTTTGTTTTGTGAAGAAAAGACCTCCTTTGTGTATTAAGAATTTTTTCCTAAATGTGAACCTTTTTACACGCTGAAGGAATGGTGCTAAAATATTCTATTTTAAAAGACATTCTGAAGCATTTTTAATTAACACAAGCTATATCGTTTCAATTATAAAGAATGCAATTTGCTTAAAATATWCAACTAAAAATCAATTCTAGTTCAGAAAAGCTTCAGAAAGTGTATTTTGTGCTGGGAGAGAAATGTTTTGTAGCCTAGTCTGAGTTTTTGTAATCAGGATATTTTTGCTGTGGAGTTCTAGTCTCTGGCTGAAACTTATTTTCTTGAGACGTAAACATTCAGTTCAGTAGATGAGAAGTGTACCCAAAGGAGGTGAGACTTCCTCAGGCTGAGGCTTTTTTGAACTTTGTGTCACAGGTATGCGTTTAAAGTCTCTCAAAAGCAGTAGAAGGAAAATAACATTCTGTTGAGAGAAGGTGGTTTGCTGTTTATTTTTAAATAGTCTAGATATTTCTGGCTGCGTGTTGGGTGTTCGCATGACGTTTAGATGTGGTATTATTTTGAGTTCATTCCTCATCCYTTTCCGTCTTGCGAAGTTTTTTCTGCTTGCGCATTTATAAGCCTTACATAGTGTGTACCCTTTCACTGAGGRCAAAGTAAGCAATTTATTTTGAGGACGGAAACAGGATTTTTTTTGTTCTTTCTGCCGCTCATGCCAATCTGTCTGTTGTTGCCAAATGCACGCTAAATAGGTCGTTCCAGTAGAAATKCTTGCATTAAGAAGCAAAGAGCAAAGCTATGTTGGTGGTGTTAAGCATTTGAACAATCATGGATTCATCTAGATTGGAAAGACCTTTAAGATCATAGACTCCAACCATTAACCTAGCACTGCCARGTCCACCCATGTCCTTAAGTGCCACATCCATGTGTCTTTTTAATGCCTTCTGAAATGGTCACTGAACCACTTCTCTGGGCAGACTGTCCCAGTGCTTTGCAACCCTTTCTGTGAAGAAACTTTTACTGATATTCAATCTAAACATCCCCTGGCACAACTTACCATGTTGTGGCCATTACCTCTGTCACTTGTTACCTGGGAGAAGAGACTGACCCCCACCTGGCGATACCCTCCTTTCAGAAGTATTGGAGAGCAATAAGATGTTTCCCCTGAGCCTCCTTCTCTCCAGGCTGAAAAACSTCAGCCCCCTCAGCTCTTCCTCATTGGTCTTGTGTTCCTGACCCTTCACTGGCTCCACTGCCCTTCTCTGSATCTGCTCCAGCCCCTCAATGTCTTTCTTGTAGTGAGAGGCCCAAAACTGGACAAGGATTCAAGATGTGGCTTTACCAGTGCTGAGTACAGGAGGACAATCACTGCCCCTGTCCCACAGTTTCTAAATTTCAAATAGGGACCATCATGCACACACAGTGTCTTTCTAAGGACTTTTATCACTTCTGTTCTTCCTTGCTCAGAAGTGGTGTGTGAGTAGGACTTGCTATGCTTGGTCCCATGTAACTGTAGCCAAGAAGGAGGGTACAGTCCTTTGGCAGCAGCTTCACWCTCAGATTGGATTAGGTGTAATGTGAAACCACACCTAAAATAATTGCTTTTATGCTGCTAGAGGTTTTCATGGGGACATACAAGTGTATTAAGGTGCATACATACCGTCACAAGGAAACAGTTTTGTTTGTTGCCAGTGTTTTGAAATATGTGTGTTTTTCTTTTGCTGGCCCACTTTTGAAACTGGTCATGTTTACATAAATTTGAAGCCAAGGCTGCTTCAGAACGTGAATTTTACTTCATAATCTTGATTTCTCGTCCCAGTATGCTGTGGTTACAGAATAGTTTATTTCTTGCTCAGAGCTCACTCTGTATGCACTCTCAGGCACTGAAATAGAAGCCTGTGGAGCGTGCACCTATCCATGCAGGGAATAATAGCTGTTGCAGAAACCTAAAGAATGCTGCAGTCATTAAAGAGTGCCTTCATTTACTAGTGTTCATAAATTGAATCAGTGCTATTTACAGCCTGTAACTGCTGGTGGTTTTAATAAAAGATGGATATTTCACAAGGAGGCCTGATTTTGGGTTTTTTTTTTTTTTTTTATTTCACATCTATGCCGAACTTGCACGTCATTCCCTAATCCTCTTTCAGTCCTCTGGGGACCGATAATAGGAATACTGCAAACTGACGTGGATGATACTTGAAGCAAAGGGTTAATTTTGAACCATGAAACAGGCTTAACCTTTACTTTTTGGGGTGGTGGTTCACTTCCTTGATCATTGATCACATGAGATTTAAGCAGGTAGAGAGATGCAGAGAGTRGGTGGGTGAATGTTTTTTAATAGCCTGGCTGATGATGCACATCAATGGGGAAAAATAGCTGTGCAGAAAGCCAGGATGCTTGCTAGCCTTTATAGTCTGTTTTTTTTTGCCGAGAGAGCATATGTTTTGTGCATAACAGAAGCCAACACAACGTGTTTTTCTCTGCCTGCATGTATGGTTTTGGTGATAGAAATGTAGTTGCTTGAAATTTAAATCCCATTCATMCTGCACAGGAGTCCTAAGTCTGCTTGTAGGGATGGGGCTTTGCAAAGCAATCTGAGTAATTTTGGGAGATACAGGCAGATCTATACAAGACCTTCATTCTGGAAAGATAATTGTTCATAGATATGCAGAAATATATGTGTTAAATAGTATTGTAGTTCCAGTTCACAAATTACAAGCACTATCAATTACAAGTTCACAAATTATAAGTGATTAAAAAAATTGTAAACACCAGGTTGTTTTTGCCATGGAGGAGATAAAAATAATCAGTAAGAATGGCTGGTATGTTTTGTTGTTCGGGGCAGTGGGGKTTGGATAGTGAGGACATGGACAATTTTATGCAGAGTTTAGGGARAAAACTGCTGAATGTTACTTTTACTCTCTGTTATTAGGGGACATGTATATTCATACAAACACTTCTGGGATTTAATTTTMTTTTTTGCTACCTTAGTGACAAGATTGCAGAAGTTTTAAATGCGATAACAAACCTCTTGTTACCCAAATATTKGAGGTTAATACCCGTGAAAAAGAAGAGGCTTGCCAATTATGCATTTCATCCATACTGAACGATAACTGTGCTTTCCTTAAGTCACAACAATCAAGGCTGCCGTGAAGTGACAAGACCTGGGCTTCCCTTCAATGTTATTTGATATGTTTCACTTTGACATTATGTAAATACTCTGCTATTAGGAAAGAAAATGACATAAAATTGCATCCTTTCTCAACAAGGTTTTACGTTCTTTCTGTAGCTTCTCTCCTTTTTGAAGCTGTAATAAAGATCATAATTAGAATCCCAGTTGCTTAAGTGAGAAATTAGCATGTTCTTATATGCTGAGCTGAGCCAGGTTCCCAGCGAGACCCCCTCCGGGTATCTGTCCTGCCCCAAAGTGCTTTYCCTAATACCAATTTACGTTCTAGACATATTAAAGAAAATCATATTCATTGGTACCTAGCAGTTAATCAGAGCCTTCAGACAGGCTTGAAATAATTTGCAGCCTGCTGCCAAAACCACCTGCAGCCATTCATTTCCCACAGCCGCACCCGGGCGTGCTCTGAAACGAATCAGAGTGTCAGTCCATTGCCCAGTACCAGGGCTGAACAAATTCACTCCACRCACGTCCCTCATTCTTACAAATTTATCCCAAATCCTACTTAACTCTACTGCTGACCTCCTAGCTTACTGTTTTCTGGGCTGTGGCGAAGCAAACAAAAATCTTAAGTGTTTTGACCTGGTGTTTTTCTGTCAAAAAGATCTTTTCCTAATGGTTTTGATTTGTTTTTTTAGAACTGCGCACAAATATATATACCTTATCTATTAATACTGTTTTACTATGGAAATAAGATTCTAGCAGATTGGAATAAATTAAAAYCTTAATGGGGCTAAAAGAAACCTAATTTGTAAATAATTTAAAACCAGAAAGCAATGAGCACTAACACTTAACAAAAAAGGGACATTTTTGTGGTGCAAAATACAGATTTAATTTCCAAATAAGTGAATGGTAAACTGTAATTGTATCATGTACAAGAAGACAYGCAGAACATATGAAATAGTAGTCACAGATTTTACAGTCAAGATGTTCCCTTTCTGTTTYTCCAAATTGTAGCAGAAGATACCAAAGGGTAAAACAAATAAAATACTGTCTTCATAATTGACCCAGCTAGGGATTTGGTATTGATGGGACATGCATTCAGATCTCTCTCTCTCTCTCTCTCTTCTAAATGGTGAATTTTTATATTTTAGCATATCCAGCAAGTTCTGTCTAACATGTTTGTGATGTGCTCTTGTTTCCACAGGCCAAGGCTGCAAGCACAAAGGAAGTTTGCTCAATCCCAGCCAAACAGTCCCAGCACAACTCCAATAAAGATAGTGGAGCCGTTGTTACCCCCTCCAGCCACTCAGATTTCTGACCTCTCCAAAAGGAAGCCCAAGACAGAAGATTTTCTCACTTTCCTCTGTCTTCGAGGTAAGTGTCTGGCAGCAGCCCTGGGGCACAGTCTCATTCACAGAAGGAGCTGTAGCTTTGCACACTGAGCAGCAGCCAGACAAATGTACTGGTGCTGCGCTTGAACGTATTGTGTGTATTTCAACCCGCAGCAATTTGACTGTATCTGCAGYAGGAGCATTCGAGTTCATGGTTTTGAAGATCATAAAATGAGGCTGGTAATAGTGCAAAAAGAAATTTCTTTTATGYTTGGCTCTCTGTTATCCTGAATGGGTTTTTGTCTAGCTCTCTTAAGTCCTCCCCATCCTCCTTTGTTTTGTCTCACTATAAACTGAAGAAGTGCTTAACTTGCCTGAGTACTTGTTCCTGAAAGAGGAGAAAATCTGCTTGGAAATTCCCCTTCTCTACCTTCTCACTGTCCTTTATTGTTCAGCCTGAGTGAGGCTTTTAATCTGACAGTGGGTGGAGGGGTTGCCATTGTTCTTGTCTGCCTCAGGAGCTGGATTGTTCCTGTGGTGATAATTAAAATAGGTGAGCTCTTCCTCAGCAACCCAGGCACCTGAAATTTGTGGAGTGAGAGACCCGAATTACTTCTCAGTAACAGGTCCCTGAGCCTGGCTGGAGCTGTGTGGTGTGTTTGGGATCAATAGGCTGTGTGTCTGCAAGCTTGCACATCAGCCTTGGGGGGCCTGAGTGTGAGGTACAGCTCACTGTCTAGATGGAGCTAGAGAAGGAGGTGTTACTYGAGTGGTCATTTTTCTTAAGATTTTCTATTACCCTGTGTCCCGAGTAGTGTACTGAAGATAGCATCTTTCAGTTTAATGCCCCAATTATTACTTTATCTCTTGCAGTATGTTTCTCTGTAGGTGCATCCCTGTCTCTTTAGTTAGTCCCTGCTCCATCCTCTGTGCTGGAATGATGCCTCTTCCTGGTTGTGGTGTCCCATTACCTGCTGAGAGGGTGTGCATTTATTACCGACAGGGCTTGTCTGCAAAAGTCTTACCTTAGTGGATTGAATCATTCAAAGCTTGTGTTTCACTTCCTCTTTCTTGAGTCTCTGGCCCATCTGTGGGCAGCAGTGATCAACACCACCCGTAGCTTTCTGCTGAGGTTTTCTCACCTTAATTCAGTGTGGTTTGATTCCTTTTTTGTTCTCTTCTGTGAGATTTTAGGTTAGTGGTACCTTTAGACTGGTTGCTAATTTATCCATCTTGATTCACATCCAGTTGGGACCTCTGGTAAAGCAGGTGGGTGGAGATAGAGGAGAGTRTTTTGCTAGCTTTTGTGTTTGTTTAAAGGATGGAGAGGAGCAGAATCTAATGAAGTTTAAAGTGGCATCACGGTCCTCTGAAATTTAATGTGTGGAAATGTATTTCTAATTTAGTGTGCTGTGAGGTTGATCAGTGTGTTGGCAGCGTGTCACTGCAGTGATCTGGGCCAACTGCCACTGTTGTTGGTGGGAAGAGTCAGATGGGGGCTGTGTGTGTGTGTCTGTGTGTGAGCACACATGGCTGCATTCACACACTTGTTTCCACCGCTTGCTAACTAAGCATGTGTTATTTATAGCTTTGAAGGCACTTGCACTTATCAAAAGGCAACCTGTGTGGGGGTGTCACTTATCTCCATTTTTATTTCTTGCTCTCTTTGCATTCTGGTTTAACAATGCAAATGGGAAGCACGGGTGCTTTAGTCCTATTCCAGTGCTTCATGTTGTTGTTTTTAATTATTTAATTTTTAAATTTCAATCAATGGCTGCTTAGCTCTTGCACCTGTAATTTTCTTCTTTGTTATTCATCTGTGGCGTAATTGATGTTTTGTACTGTCAATTAAGAACTCACAATTCATTTCYAATTTCTTCAGTATGCAGGAGTACTCGTACATTTCTGACAACACATGCGTTCAGACAGCAAGATCCCAATTGCAATTATGTTAAAAACCACGAGGGAAGGTCTGCTCTSAGTGCCACACATGGCATGTTCTTGGTCTGCTTAAACAGTCAAGCAAAATAGAAGGGTAAAGCTGTCAGCTTTTGTGTTTCAGCACCCCCACAAGCTTATTACTCGATCACCCCTGTATAAAACATCAAAAGAGCCAGTTAAAAAAAGGTGGGGGAATCTTCTTGGACATCTGCTATCTGGGTCCTTCTCTGGAGGAGCAGGAGAGTGCGTTGCTTTGGAGGGAGGAGTGGATTATTCAGACTTGTGTTAGCATGGTTCTGGCTTCTGTGCTTGAAATGCYGTGTCCTTCAAGAGGTCTTGGCTGCCTGAGGTTGTGTCCTTTTGGCCTCTGAGAATGTTTTGCTCCAGCTGGTTGTCTCTTTAGAGGTGTCCATTTCAAAAAACGGAGAGGGAAGCTGGTTCTTAGTAGGCTGGCAGGGAGTTCATGTAGCAGCGTGCTGGTACATCCAGYTCCAGAAAGGTCCCACAAGTGACTCTCCAGGGCACTGCAGGCTTAGTTTGGTGCYACTCTTCTGATGGTGCCTAGTGAGCTCAGAGAGGCCCAGCAGCTTTCTAAGACMCTATGTAGGGAAGACTTGGGATTTTTTGGAAGGGTTTATTTTTATTTGGGACCTCCATGTTATTATTTATTGAAGTGTTGAGGCATTCAGAATTGTTTGCATGCTGTGACAGGTGGTTGTTCTGACTTATCTCCAGCTGCATGTGTCCAGGCTTCGCTCTTTGCGGTTTTGAAATGCGACCTGCAATTGCATGGAACTAAGAGCACATTCACAGGGTTGAAATTAAGCACTTTGAAAATTTTAAGTGTATTAGTGATAAGATCCAGGACAGTGAATCACCAAGTTTGTTTATTAAAAAAAAAAAAAAAAAAGTTAAGGCTATATTGGGTCCTAGTCCTTCAAAATGTTTTGGTGATACAGTCCCTGCATTCATGATCAAAGCCTTTTTTGAAGCCTTTTTTGAGTCTCTTCCAGGACTGGTGGGAAGGCAGCTCAGTGGTCTTCTCTGTCCATGTCCCACCATACCCAGCAGTGCTGTCAGAAGCACAGCGTAAATTTGTCACACCACAGAGTCATGAATCAGTAAGGGTGTAAAAGACCTTCAAGATCACMAAGTCCAACCTTTGACTGGATTCAACCATGAATCCACATGTCAGTGTGTATTTTCATTTTCTGTTTTCAAACAGAGACATTTTAGAATCCCTCCACCACTGCAGGTTCAGTCTTCATTGCTCTTGAGGGGTTTATTTTGAGCGGGAGCAGCTGAATTCTGTCAGTGAAGCTGCAATACTATCATGCTACAGTGTGGAAGAAAGGCCCTTGACAAACATAAGGTCCATACTTAGGAGAAAAAGTGCCACTTACCTGTCCTGCTATGTGTAAGAGAATCTAATGATTCAAAGAATTTTAAGTCCCCTCCACTTCATTAGCATCCTGTAATTTCAAAGGGAAATAATTTAACCAAGATGACCTGCTTGGTTTCATTATCCAGAACACTAAGGCTTTAGACATATTTTTAATTAGTTTGTTTTTCAAACTCTTGGTTTGCTAATATGCTGTACTAATTACTTCTTAAAAGGTAAGTGGAGCACAATGAAAAAGCTGTAACAGTTGATGAATATCTGAGCAGCCTGGAATACATTTCTAAACTGACCAAACTTGGCAAGGCTCCTCTGCTTTCTATTATTTTAAAATCCTCCTTTTAAAAAAATTGGTGGGCTTTTGGTTTTATTTTTTGTTCATTTGTTTGTTTTGTGGTGGG